TACCCCCAGCTTCTTATCTGATCTGAGTCTCCCCCTCCCATACCTACTGGCTCCCAGTCCCCTCCCAAGTCCCAGTATCCCATCTCAAACAGTCCCAGGTCGTCTCCCCCCTCCCCCCCGCCATTCCCAGTTTCAAATTTATTTGGGCATAAGCTTTCGTGGGCTAGAACCCACTTCATCAGATGCATGGAGTGGAAAATACAGGAGCAGGTATAAATACATGAATAGAGTATAAATACATGATGAAATGGGTTCTAGCCCACGAAAGCTTATGCCCAAATAAATTTGTTCGTCTCTAAGGTGCCACAAGGACTCCTCGTTGTTTCAACTGAAGATAGTGTCTTCTACTGAGAAGTGTTGGGCAACCTTCATACTAGGCAGTACTACCAGCTTCGCCTGTAATGTAGGCTCGTATGTATTTTTATTGGAGGGTGCTATTCCCTTCATAGTTAAGTTTAAAACTAGCTTCCCATTCAACTTCCTCCTTTACATAACCAAAATCAAACCAATACACTAATACAGCTTCTGCAAGAACAAGGTCATGAAATCCACACAAACCTAGAACTACAAAATAATAAAGAATTACACAATGCTGGGTTCAGCCCCAAAAAAGAACATGGAAATTATGAAGAATGGGGAAGATACACGTAGTTGTTCTGGATGCCAAAAAGCCCAACTCTGTCTCCTATCCAAAAGGTATGGCTAAGTGCTCCACCTGATTAAGTCTCACATTTCCATTGAGACGGGGCAATGCTGACACAACATGATGATAAGACTTGTGATACTCCACATTTATGAGTGCTCTCTCCTTTTTGGAAATACTATACTTTAACTTTGAAGATACACACAACTCCAAGTCCCTTACCCCTATTAACAGGAACTGTACTGAAAGCAGCAGGTGTTATTCTCGTGTATATGAGAAATATTGGAGATTTCTCAATATTCCTATCATCACACAAACAGCACACAGTTCTGACCAGCTGACGTAAGAGCAAAGTCCCATGGGGTAAAGCTGCCCAGTGTTTTCAGGGAGAAGCTGTTTACACGATGGGGAATTACCGGGTTATGGATTGTCTTCTGCAGTTGGTCCAAGGGCATCGTCGTCCCTCCTTCAGCCAAGTCTGTTGGCTGTGTGTGACCAGCGATGGATTTTGAATATAGTTAAATTTCTCAGTTTTGTTGGCATTGAAGAAAGGATCCCTTTGGAAAACCAAAATTAAGTTTTAATTAAAAAAACTGAATGAAGTAATCCTTGTTCAGCCTTCAAAATATTAAATTTTCTTCATGCTTTTTGACATACTAATGAAAATGTTTTAACAGGAATTTGCTGGCTTAATTTTACAGTTTCTACAAGATATGAAAATTAAGTGCTTAGTTGCCCCAGTAAGACATACCCCTTAACATAGGGCAGTGTGTACATAGCTACAAAGTTTGCTTGAGAACTCTGGGAATAATTGGTTCTCAATAGATATAATCTCTCCCACAGCTGCCTGGGAAGTGTGGACAATGCACAGTCCTTAAGCATGGTCCACCATTCTCCTTTCTACACAGCTGTCTAGATCTTGTTAGCATGGAAATTGTGGGAGAAGAACAGTCACAGTCCCACAGAGGAGCTGAGAAGGAGTGGTCCCTGTACTCAGGGACTGCAGTTGTTCCTGATCTTTATGTGGGAGTGCAAGAGGGGAAGGCTCTTTGAACGTTTCTACTTCCCACACAAGAGCCAGGCAAAATCTGGTCTGAAATAAGCAAGAGAGCAATTTTATTTTCTTCTTTTGCTAATTCCTAACTTTCCTGAGGGAGAGTCTGTAGGCTGATCTTTGCTTTCTCCTGACCAGTCAAAAGACCATGGGTTCTCTTACCTTTGATAATGCGGTGAAAAGACTAGCAAAAACCACAATTAAGACGAAAAGTTTCTGTTTTCTATATCCTTCAGCATATACAATCCCAGATATCAATGAATAGCTCAAGGACAATACTGACAGAGTCACTGAACAGATAGCTATGAACAGCAATGAAACTACAGCTTCTTAGTGTGTCCTGTACTCAGCAACCCCTCCCTTCTTCAGAAGGGCATCCCAGTGACCAGAATGTAATACCCAAATGTAAACCTACAGACAATAATATTATTTATAGTATTCTATTATGCAAACAAAGGCTATTTCATTTAAGCAGACTTAGTGGGGCCTATGTTTGCTGTATTACTGCCTGATATTTGTTACAATATATTTGACTAATCAGAACAAAGTTAACTATTGTACTCGTGCATCATGATTTATTTACTTCAGTCTCTCAGTGGAGGTGTGGCCTATTGTAACTTTTTTATTATATTTTATTTTTTTCTATATTTTATTATTATGTGGCAACAAAATACTTAGTTCTTCACCCATCAAAGCAATTTACAAAGGCAAATATCATTAGCCTCATCTTAGAGATGGAAAAACAGAGGCACAGAAGAGATATGATATTCCCAGTACAGAGAAGACTAGTAGAAGAGGCAAAAATGGAACCCAGATCTTATGACTCTTAATTTGGTAGCCTATTCACTAGACCATGCTGCTCCTTCCCATGACCTGTGACAGCAATCTAGACTTCATTAAAAAAGAGGACTCTGGGACTACGGAAAATGAACAAGCTTGAGAATTCTGTGGCACATATACAAACTGGCATAGCTAAAGGATATTAAGTGTGTAAGCCTGTGGTGCATTTGAAATCTTGGCAGTGTTGCAGGATGCCTCGGACAGTGTGGCAATTTCATACCAAGAAAGTGGGGCATAACATGGAGAGAAAGTTGGAATTTAGGTATTTCTGTATTTTGGAATGAGGGAATGGTATATAATTGCTGGGTTCTGCCTGTGGGTGGGGATTCACTGATAGAAACGCACAGCAGATGCCCAAGTTCCTCTCCCTGTCAACAGAGAGAAAATTACTTGCAATATTCATTAAGTTAAAGTCTCCAGACAGTACTGAAAGTGGTGAGCTGCATTATTTCTATTTCTAAATGTGGAGCAGGATTGAAATTAGGGTTTTCTAAAACTGGTAAACATGTGCAGTTTTTCTGCTCCAAAATGAAAAAAAAAATTGTAATAACCTTAAATGTCACTTTGGTGTAATAATATCTCACTAACTCCAAAATATTCCTGGTAATAAACACTAACAGGCAGATAATCCTGCCATTCGCTATAGTCAGTCAAATTATCATTCTCCATGAGCTTTAAGAATTACTTTAAGAGATGTGGCCAGGTCAATTTAAACCCAAACCACAGATATTAGTAAAAAAAAAAAAACAAGTTTTACATAAAAACAATAGTAATAAGAGAAGTATCCCCTTTTAAAAAAAAAAGCAGTGCAGTAAAATTAATTTGTTACTTTGGAAATAAAGGTTCCCCTGTAATGTCTGTTCCCCAGACTTTCCAAGATTGTGCTAGTACATCAGAACTAGAAAGTGAAGACAGACTGTATAAAGTGAAATTGACTCATTTGAGAAAAACCTAAAAAGTAAACAAAATAAGACTAGTGTTAAATAAATTCGTTTTTAAAGGTTTAAATTTTAATAATCAGAGGAGTTTTTAATAATACAAGTAAAGGCATATTTTTAAAATATGATTTTAACCTTGCAGGGTCCTTTTAATTTTCTAGTTCTTATTTCTTTTGGATGCTCCCCGCAATGGAGTCAACCCTGTTTTCTGTATCCAAACACATCTGCGTTTTTTAAATTTCAACAGTTTTTTTTCCCTGAAGGGATATTGTCAATCTGTTTAAATCATATTTAATTTATGCTTACCTTTGTAACGAATAACCTCTTCAAAGCTACAAACTGAAATCTGACTGTAAATCAAATGTATCTGTTTCCATTTCGATCAGTTGTGGATTGTTTTAGCTGGTTACTCTGCTTGCACAGTAAAAATGGTTCCTCCACTCCTATTTCCTGGTTCCCATGCACCAACACAATGACATCACCACATGTACACTGCTCTGAAAGCCTCCTCCCCAGGCATTCCTTAAAGAACCAGTGTGTGTCACAGGTCACTTGCTGATAACATAGCTTTATTTTTGGCTGTTCTGTTTCCACCACGTGTGGATTACTGTTTAAAACTGTCTTTTTGAAACAAATTGCTTTATTCTTTTTATACTTTATTTTTTTTCATGCACTTTAAAATAGTTGTTTGAATTTCATCATGGTGAAAGATGCTGCCCTGGAGAATGAAATTCTTCCTTAAGCTGGATACTAGCTCTTAGTGCTAGCATCATGGTCCCCGACCATGGCAGCTGGTTGGTATAGGGTGGGGAACTTAAAATTAGACACATAACTGTCTTCTGCGCCATTGCTTCCAAAAAATGATCCGAAGGCCTGTCAGGAGGACACAGATTTTGCATGACACTAGTGTCTGTAGCCTTGTCTTTCCAGCTCACCACTGAACTGTTTACAGGTAACAGACAATTGTCAAGTTTCAGAGTAGCAGCCGTGTTAGTCTGTATCCGCAAAAAGAAGAACAGGAGGACTTGTGGCACCTTAGAGACTAACAAATTTATTAGAGCATAAGCTTTCGTGGACTACAGCCCACTTCTTCGGATGCTGCAGATGCTCTCCCATACCACCTGGGACCACCATGGAGTCTGCTGCGCAGGCAGCCAGGTGACCTCTCTTCAGCTGGAGAATGAGGAGGCCTCAGCTTCAGCAGGACAAGGTAAAGAGGTCCCAGTATTGGCCCTAGAGCCTAGACTCTCCACCCTCTACGTTCCTCGCTATCACAAACCGCATCCCGGTAATCCAGGCACCCAATCCCCTCCGAAGTCCCAGCACAGCCTCAAAAAGCAAACTCAGCAATGTATGACAGCTTCTTTCCTGTCCCTTAAGTTGTCCTAGCTTTTTCATTATTGTTCTTGTTCTCCTTACTTTCCTGCCCCACCACATACACTCCAAGTGCCTGCTTATCTTTGTGATTGGTTTATATATGTAGAATTGGGGTTTGTTGGGTGCCACCATGCAGCTGGTACCCTTTGGGAGACTTCTTTCACACTTGTCTCTCCAGCTAACCATGCCTATGATGATTACCTACGCACCTGCATACCGTTGGCACCATTTCAGAGGCATAACAACACTTACACACTACTGTACGATTATGAGGTGATGTTTGGTGCTTAGTTTCCTCCCTAGTACTCCTTTTAATATACATGGAGACAAGCGAAAAACGCTGAGTCTAAGAGAGAAAACCTCACCCTACAGGAAGCCTGGTCAGGGCCCGCAGCTCCTGGCACAAGGTGGAATTTCCCCCATTTCCAACTTGAAGATTAGCTGCAGGAAGCCAGACAGACTCAAGTTTCAGACATCCGCTACATTGTGCGAGTAATGCAGCAGGATCACACCATCCTGTTCCAGATTGTCTCTACCTGCTCTCAGAATCTGCTGTTAACCTGCAACCCTACTCCCTTCTGCAGCCTGGGTCTGGAATTGATGGTCTGTTTCACTGCATTGCCATGGCCACCGTGGGTCCGTCTGCACTGCAGCTGGCAGGTGTAATTGCCAGTTTGGGTAGATATACATCATGTGCTAGCTCCGTACAAGATAGTGCTCTAAATTAGCATTGTGGCCATGGCAGCATGGGCAGCGGCTCAGGCTTGTAACTAGAATCTCAGACAGGGTTGCTGTTTTTATGATCAGAGCAAGTGAATGTGTGTCTACCTGAGCTGAGCATTACATCTTGAAACTAAGGTTGCCAGATGTCTGTTTTTTGACCGGAAAACCCAGTCGAAAAGGGACCCTGGCGGCTCCAATCAGCACTGCTGACCAGGCTGTTAAAAGTCTGGTTGCTGTCGCAGCGGGGCAGGCAGACTCTGTGCCCAGCTCCGCGCAACTCCTGGGAAGCGGCGAACTATGGAGGAACATGTCGCTGTTTCCCGGGAGTTGCCTAAGGTCAGCACTGCCCGTAGCCCATACCCTGAACCCCCTCCCAGTGCCCCAATCCCCTCCTCTGGCTTAGAACCCCCTCCTGCACCCAAACTTCCTCCTGGAGCTTGCACCCCACACCCCAACTCCCTGCCTGATCCCAGAGCCCCTCGGTCCCAGCTCAGAGCACCCTCCTACACCCCAAACCTTTCATCCCCGGCCCCACCCCAGAGCCCACATCCCAAGCCTAGAGCCCTCACCTCCCCCCCACCACACACACATACCTCAACACCGTGCCCCTGCCCGGAGCCCCCTCCTGTACCCCAAACCCCGCATCCCCCAGCCGGAGGCCTCACCTCTTCCCACACTGAATCCCCTGCCTCACCCAGAGCCCCTTCCTGCACCTGGAGCCCACACCCCCAGCCCAGAGTCCATGCCTCAACCCACACCCAAACTGACTGCCTCAGCCCGGAGCCCTCTCCCACACTCCAAAACCCTCGGCCTCACCCCCCAGCCCAGAGCCCCCTCCTGCACTCCAAACTCCTCATCCCTGGCCCCATCCCAGAGCCCACACCCCCTCTCACATCCTAAAACCCTGCCCCAGCCCAGTGAAAATAAGCAAGTGAGTGAGGGTGTGGTTCAGCGAGCAACGGAGGGAGGGGAATGGAGTGAGCAGGATGCGGGACCTCGGAGAAGGGGCAGGGCAGGGATGGGGTCTCAGGGAAGGGGCAGGGCAGGGGCCAGGACAAGGATGTTCAGTTAGAAAGTTAGCAACCCTACTTGAAAAGGCGCTGGAACACTTTTTAGAGTGGGGGTGCTCCCCCCTGCTCCTCCTAGAGCTGGGGCAAGGAGCAGGGCCTTGGCTCTGGGACAGGGGGACATGGACAGGGATAAGGGAGCTGAGCCCACAGCTGGGAGTAGGTGCGGATCCCCAGGCTCTGGGCTGATAGCTGGGACTCCGCGTGTGGGACTGAGACTGGAGCCCCAGACGCAGGGCCAGGCACGGGGCCGGCAGCCCCAGACTAGGAGTGGAGCCCTGTGTAAAACCTGGGTGTGCTACAGCATCCCCCGCACCCGTAGTTCTTGCACCTATGTTTGAAGCTGCAGTACAGACCTAGCCAATGAGATCTTCTCTATCAGGAGCCACGAATGGGCAGCAGAAATCAGGAATCTCCCAGGTTTGTGGGACTGATCTGAACCCATGGATGGGATTTCAGAAGCCTACAGTTATGTAAAAATAAACTCTTCCTGGGGTTGCTGAGTGTGTTCATGCTTTCTCTTGGCTGTGATGGGCAGCAACAGTTTCATATACAGTTTGTAGGAGGGAGGGTCAGATCCTGGTGTGGGCTCAGGAAGGGATTAGTGAGAATGGCAGGCAGGGTATTTGCCCAGAGATAGTACCAGGGAGCCCAGTCCTGAACGGAGTCTGTCAGTTCCTTGGTTCCCAACCTCCACTACTAGTCTCAAGAGCAGCATTTGACTTCCCTTGGGTTTCCTCCAGTCCATAGTTTTCCTTCTGGGCCTACTGCTATTGCTGTCCCAGCTCAGTAGGTAGATTTTCTTTCCATACCCCTGTAAGCAGAGTCAGAATGAGCGCTACCGTGAGATCTGGTAGTGAGCTGTGGAAAAGGACTTCAGGGGCTGATCTCGTTTGCATGGGCACACTCACCCTGCCTAGTATGAAGGACTGCCTGCCCAAATGGTCACTTTGGCTGCTGTGGGATCCCCAGTCTCTTTGTTATTGGGGCAGGAGTAATAAAGGGTTGTTATCCTGGATATGTGAATCAAGGACAGTAGAACTGTACTTGGCATTTTATGATGGAGGGATTCGCCCTCAACTAAGCAGCACTCACTAGGCAAGGGACATGGGTTCCAAAGCCGGGTGCGGGGGGACAGGTATGTGTATCTGGTAGTGTGCGTCCCTTCTGAGGGCCCGAAATACCACTTTTACTCCTGTTCTCTCCAGTATGTAATAACAGAGCTAATTTTGACTCCATTAGGAGTCTTGTTACATGCTACAGAGCAGAAACCTAAGTCTAAGCATTAGACCTACTTTGGGCTAGTGGTGCACCAGCACTGAGGCTCCCCTACTACCAGCTAAACTCACTGAGAGCTGAAGTCACTAAAGAGCTGATGTTACTAAGAACTGTGTTGCTTGAACCAAAGATAAATTCAAGATTTCTCACTATTTTGGTATTTACATTGTACAATAAACCTCCAACCACAATATTTAAACTGTTATAACTTGTCCAGATTTTCACCAGGATCCTGAAAGGTACCCCTGTTTAACACCTCTCCTGCCAAAGGCAGACTTTCTACTTCCACCTACTGAAGTGCTACTGCTGTTCAAAACAGGCTATCAGAATTGTTTTATACTTGATGAGGGGCCTGTTTCCTGAAATGATCACAACCAGCCCTAATATTTACAGGGTTTTGCCTCCTTATTCCTGACTAACATTTGCCAACCATGCCAAAATCCTCAATTGGGACAGGCAGGCCTCCTAGCTCCCACATGTGTGGCTTCAGCTGGTAGAGCAGATGCCAGGTGGGGTTAGCTACACCACAAATAAAGGAGTATGGAGATTCTTCAGCAAAAACAACTCATTGGTGGGAAGTATTATCATGTGGTCGTGGTTTGCTTTAAGCCATTTTCAAATCAGAGAGTTGCTAAAGATAGGAAATGTTATAGGAAAATATAATATTGTTTATATCTGGGGTATCTGAGAAGCCATACAATGGTATTCCTGCAAAATAGTGATGACCCTGTTCAAATATTAATAGACAGCTACATACCATCTCCTATCCCACATAGCTAATTACACATCACTACCATCGTGGTAGTGTACAACCAACTGTCATCCCTGTGGAAGTAAAAGGCCCGGGTAGAGACCGTCGAATCGTGGAAGTCAATGAATGGCTATGCAGCTGCTGTCGGAGAGAAGGCTTTGGATTCTTTGACCATGGGATGGTGTTCCAAGAAGGAGGAGTGCTAGGCAGAGACGGGCTCCATCTAACAAAGAGAGGGAAGAGCATCTTCACAAGCAGGCTGG